GAGCACAAACTCGTGGCTCCGCGCGGGCTTCCTGGAACGGCGCGGGACCCCCCCTCCTGGCGCGCGGAGCGCGCCAGCCGGGAGTCGCCGCCAGGGTTAAGTCGGGCCTGTCAATCTACAAGGGGATTTTGGACGAAAACTAGAACAGAGTCAAACAATACCCCATAATGTTCAAAAATATGCAAAAAATCGTCCCCTGGCTATTCTGACAATTTTGAATTTTCCTCCTGTAGAGGGACAGGCCCGACTTAACGCCAGGGGTGCCCCGCGCCGATCCAAGAAGTCCGCGCGGACCTCCAGAAGTCTATGCATATACCGTCTCGTGCTCCTCGACGGGCCCCGGTGCCCAGTGGTGGCGTTCAGTCAGGCATGTCCTTCTACAGGGGGAATCTTCAAAAATACGAAAAAAATAGTGTATGATCACGATTTCGTTCTCTCATTTTTAACATTTTCTAAAAGCATTTTTGGGGTATCTTTTCTTAGTCGTCCCAAATCCGGCTGTAGGAGGACACGCCCGACCTAATGGTGGCGTGTGCTTCCCATCGCCCTTCCTTCCCTGAGGTCCCAGCGTTGGCCTTTTTTTCCAGCTGGCGTTTTCGCCCAGTTTCGGGCCCTGTGGGACCCTCCCAGATCTTCAGGCCTCCTAGATGGGGTCGGAGTGGATGAGGTCGGAGGATCGCGCCGCATTGCCGATGCATCGGCGATGCATCGGCGATGCGGCTCGATGTGGGGCCCAATTTTCTCCACGCCGACGTCGCGGATGTACCGCCGACGTTGCCAGTGCATGGCCGATGCATCGCCGATGCATCGGCGATGCTTCGCCGATGTATCGGCGATGCGACGAGATCCTCCGACCTCATCTACTCGGACCCCATCTGGGAGGCTTAGAGATGACGCAGGAAGATGGGATCTGGGACTCCAGTCGTGATTTTTCGCGATGTTGATTTTCTTGTGCAATGCCAGATCTGATGGTTCCCCAAGGTCCAACGTTGCGCACAACTATTGCGACATCGCCAGGAGTCACGACTGGAGCCCCAGACCCTGTCTTTCTGCGGCTTTTTTTCAAGCTGGACTCATCTTTGATGGTCCCAGGGCCCGAACCCGGGCGAAAACGCCCGGATCTCAGGGATCGCCCTAGAGGGCGTATTTTTTAGATTCAGGCGAGTTTGCTTGCATGGCATTCCCCCCCCTTTCCGCCGCCTTTTCAGGCAATGTTGGGCCGAAGAGGCGTGCAAGTGAGTCCCAGCTTGCGTGAAGTCTAGATTCCCTTTCGGGCCTCGCCACGCCTCCCCCCCCCCCTCCCTCCCCAGACTCCCGACGTCGTGTTGTTTCGCACCGCCGACCCCCAGAGGTCTGGACCCCTTCCCCGGGACCGGTTCTTCATGCCGAGTTGTTTTTTGGCGGTCCCGAGGCCCGGTAAGGGCCCGTGGAGGCCGAAAATAAAGAACAAAAACTATCGTCGTGTTTTTTTGCACAGGGCGAGGGGGCCTGGGTCCACGCAAGCACAACCAAGACGCTAATTCAAATGAGGCCCAATTCGGGTTCGGAAGGGGCCCGCTGTTCCGCAGGTCCTTCCGTGGTTGTTCCTCTATCTCTCCTCGTGCGCCTAAGCGCCCCTGGGGCCAGAGCGAGGCTGCGTTCCTTCTTTAGCCTTTCTTCGGGCAGCTCCGTGACTGTAGACTTGTCAGCGGCCGACTAGTCAAACAACCGCCCGTCGTGATTTTTTTTCACAGCGCGAGGGGCTCTGGATCCATGCGGGCAAACTTCGGAAACTGGGACATATACCTTACGAGTGGCTGGCTGTTTTTCAATTCCAGGACTATTTTGAGGATCGAGGATGACGCTGAGGTGGTGTGGTGTATATTTTTTTCCCCGATGTCCCGTGGAAACAACAAAACATGTATACACCAGGGTCCCGTATACACCAGAATCCGCTCTCCAGTGCAATTTCCAATGCAGGGCAGGAAGAAGCGTCGGTGTATAGAGTTCGATTCCCTAAAACTTGCCCAGAAGCTGCCGAAAATCTGCCTCCTCGAGGCGGCGGCGGGGCGGCCGGCCACCGCGGTCGCGCCGCCCCAGCGGCCGCCCGCCAGCGGGCTTCCGGCAGCCTCGCCGGCGCGGCCCGGCGCCGGGCTGGCGCCGCGCAGTGCGCCGCTGCTGGGCGGCTGCCTGGCCGCGCTGGCGGGCGCGGGCGCGCGGCGCGGGAGGCCAGAGGAGGAGAAGGGTACCCCTGCCGCTATCCTCGGCCCTCGGCTCGCTGTTGTCGCCTCCTTGGGCCTCCTGGGGGGCCCCCGTCGCCACCGCTGGATTCGCCTCGAAGTTCGGGTCAGGGCGCACCCCGGGAAGGGTCCGGGGAGTAGCGTTCTGTCGGGCATGTCCCTCTCTACAGAAGGAATATTCACAAATATTCAAAACATAGGGGACGATTTTCTATATTTTTTGATGGCTATATATATATATATATATATATATATATATATCGATGAATATATATATATATGTATAAGTATGTATATATATATGAATATATATATATATGTATATATCCATATATTCATATATATATATTATATATATATCTATGTATAGGAGGTATGATGTACGTATGTGCACATCTATATGTGTATATAGTTATATGTATATATACATAACTCTAGGTATATATTTATATATTTATATATTTATATAGATATCTCTCTCTCTATATATATACAGCTGTCAATCTTTATGCTCCTTCCAAAATCCGACTGTAGGAGGACATGCCCGACCTAAGAGTAGCGGTGTCGGTACCCTTTTCGCCTCCCGCAGGAGGCGCGCGGCGCGGAGGCAGGCGCCCGAGCAGCGGGGGGCCGGGGCCGCGGTCGAGGTGAGCCACGCAGCACAAGCGGTAAGTCGGGCATGTCCTTCTACAGGGGGAGGATTCAAAAATAGTCAAGATTAGTCTGGGGACGACTTTTCGACTATGTAGCCCTATTTTGGGATATCTTGTCGACTATGTTGTATTCTTCTTCCAAAACCCGCCCGTAGGAGGACATGCCCGACCTAACACAAGCTGGGTCAACAGAGCCGACCTTGGTGCGTAAGCTGCCCGCGCCAGGTCGCGCGGAAGCGCCCGTCTCTAACATGGCGTGCCGCGCTGGCGGCCCTTGAGCCACCGCGTGAGGCCGCCGTGCCATCTCGCGCTAGGCCCGCTTCTTTGCGTCTTGGCATCGCTCGGGCGTGTGCGTTTTTTCCTCGGCGAGGACCGTCGAGGAGCATCCTTGATGATCTGGCGAAAAAGCCACGCACGAAACCGACAAACAAACACAGGGAATGGACGTCCGAGCGATGGCGGGTCGCCGCTCAGGTGGACCAGCCCAGGGACTCCCTGAAGGGCCTCGAGGACCTCGCCAGCCTCGGTGGCCGGGGGACAAAGTACCAGCCTGGGACATATCCCAGGAGGAGGAGGAGGAGGAGGAGGAGGAGGAGGAGGAGGAGGAGGAGGAGGAGGAACAGGGATCAGTTCGAGGCCGACTAAATCGAGGAAGGGCGCGCGCGCTGGTGCCGCTGCCGGTGCGCTTTCCCTCGCTGCGCACCTCCTTTTTTGGGGGGAGCCTTCTGCTGGGGGCCGCCGTCGCCGCGGCATGGGTCCGCTTCAGGGTCGTGGTGGTCGTCGTTTTCTTATTCATTGCTAATTATGCCGATCGGTGTGGGCCCTCGCACCCCCCCTCCACCCCCCAGTGGAGTAGATCTTGGCTCTTCTTGGCGCCCGTTCCGAGCAGGTGGAGTCTCCCCCCATAATGGACGCCCTGTTCCACACAGGTCTGGAGCCAGACCCTCCCCCTCCCCCTCCCCCGCCTCCGCCCAGTGCCGAAGCTCCGAGTAAGAAAGCGCTCACGCGAGAAAGCGCCCTGGGAGGGGTCGATGCTCCTCAGAACGTGTGTTAGCCCAAGGCGACGAAGAAAAAAACGCCATGAGCAGAAACTCGTCGAGCTCCGCGCGGATTTCTTGGATCCGCGCGCGGGGCCCCCCTGGGCGGATCCAAGAAGTCCGCGCGGAGCGCCAACACTTTATGTTTATGTCGTTTTTTATGTTTTTGTTTTTTTGTGTTCTCTTTTTTTTCCTTCTTCTACCAAAGTGTGTGTTGCCCCTTTGAGCTCCACCGAGAGCACGCAGCCTGTCTCGGTCCTCATGAAGCCGACTCCGTCGTGGCGGAGGGCTTCGTTGGACAAGCTCACGATGGCGCTAACACGCGTTCTGATGATCATCGTGAGGGATCGAGGTGGACTAGCCCAGGGGCTCCCTGAAGGGCCTCGAGGACCTCGAGAGCCTCGGTGGTCAGGGGTAGGGTTGACCTCTGCCGTGTCCGTCGAGAATGTCGAGCGCGTCGAGGGTGTCAAGCCCAGATTTCCGACGATATGATGTTGTTTTTTGTTTTGTCTTGTTTTTCTAATAATCGATTTCGGCCCTCGGGGGCCGTTTTCGAGACCTGGGGCCATGAGCTACACTTGGGGAAGCTGTCGGGACTTTGGGGCCGCGAATGGACAAATCAGTCCGGCAGATGTCAGGGTCGAAGGGATCGGAGAAGGAACAGCTTAGGTGTTCGTTTGGAGGACCTTCCCGGGGCCCGCCTCCAGACGAATCTGATCGACTCCAGTTCGCATCTGGCCCGACTCCAGTTCGACTCTAGCTCGACTCAAGTCGACAGACTTTCGACGCAGCATCAACGCATGAGTGGAGCGAGTGGTTCCAGGAAGGTCCCGGGAACGAGCATCCAACACAAAAAGTACATGCGGTGGTGCTGGTGCGCTTCCCTCGCTGCTCGCCGCCTTTTGGGGGCCCCCTGGCGGGGGTCCTCGTCGCCTCGGCTGGGCTCGCTTTGGAGTCGTGGTCAGAGCGCACCGTGCTGGGAGGGGTCAAGGGAATAGCGGTGTTGACATTGTAATCCTCCAGGTCGTGCGGCTGCAGGGAAGACGGCCCTGGTCGTGGGCGGCGGCGTCGGCGGCCTCGCGACGGCGGGCATGCTGTCCAGGGCTGGGATGAAGGTGACGCTGCTGGAGAAGAACCCCGAGGTCGGGGGTCGCTGTCAGTCTGTGGACTCTCAGAAAGTGAAGGGTTACCGCTGGGACACGGGACCCAGCTTGCTTTTGCTCCCGGAGAAGTACGACGACGCGTTTAAGCGACTCGGCACCGACATAAAGAAGGAGCTCAAGCTCAAGAAGGTCGACCCTGCGTACCGGGTGGTGTTCGGGGACGAGACGCACATCGACGTGACGTATGACCTCCTCCAAATGACAGCGCAGATGGAGAAATTCGAGCCAGGCTGCTCCAGCAATTACTACCGGTTTCTCTCGGTGGCGCGCCGCATGCTGGATTTTGGTGTGGAGCGTTTCGTGGACCGTTATTTCGAGACCTGGCAGGACCTGGTGTCGCCCCTGGAGCTCGTGCCGCAGATGCTGCTGCGGGGCTGGATCACCTTGCCGCTTTTAAACATGCTGGGATCGATCGACTGGCTGATGCAGTCCTTCTTTCAGGACGAGCGCCTGCGGGCGATTTTCACTTTTCAGACGCTGTACGTGGGCCTCACCCCCTACAGCTCACCCGGTGAGCGACTCAAACCAAGGGGCGGGGGGGGCGGGGGCAATTTCGCGGTCTGTCCGCGGAAGGTCGCGCGCAAGCGCTTTTTTTCGACGTAACCTGCCGCGTGAGCGACCTGCGTGTAGCTGGCACGAGGGTAAACAAGAACACCTTGTTCTGTTGAGGTACCCTCATGCTCTTCGTTTTCTGCGCCTTCCCCCTTGAACTGCTCTTCGCGTCGGGCATCTCCATGGGGCCACTTTGCCGTCGGCGAAGGGGCTGATGTGCTTGACCCACGCTCGGATGCAACGTATGTCAGGTTAGATTTCAAATCGGCGCTGGTCTATAGTAACTTCTAGTATTTTACTGGCCACCCTCGTTGCATATCCCTGGCGAAAAATTGACCTGGCCTGGTCAATCCCGCTTAATACAGCTCGACCCCTCTTTCTCAATCCCGCTAAATCCCGTTTGATCCAGCTTACTCCGAGTTTCTTGATAAGCGTCGGGGGGGGCGTCACCCCCGTCGACGGCCACACATCGACCCCCGTCGCGGGCAGCCACCGCGGGCCGACGGCGCTCCGACCCCCGTCGCGGCGCGACGACGAGGCGAGGCTGACCCCCGTCGGGGGGTACCCCCCACGCTTATTGAGAAACCCAGAGCAGTCATGGGCTACACTACACCAGAGAAAAAACCCAATCAGTGGATGGTTTTCGCGGAGGAGATCGACTGGGAACCCCTGGAGCCCGGGAACCCAGAACCTACCGAAATCGGCCGGGAACCAATAACCAGGAACCCGGGAACCGGGAACCCAGGAACCCGGGAACCCAGCCTGCCACCCAAATCGGCGGGAAATTTTCGCCAAAGCTTCCAACCTCCGCTAGGACCCCTTCAGGGCAAGCACTGATTGGGGAATCAATCTGGGCCTAGTCTGGCTCGGTGGCCCTTTCGTCGGGCTTCATCGCTCTTCCTCGTCTCGCCGAAGACCTCCCAGGAGCCGCCTCCGAACCCACGTCCTCGCGGCCACGTTTCGACCGCACGCCGGACCTGGCTAGGACTCGTCTTCCTCCTCCTCTTCCTCCTTCCCCTCCTTCTCCTCCTCCTCCTCCTCCTCCTCCCTCCTCCTCCTCCTCCTCCTCCTCCTCCTCCCTCCTCCTCCCTCCTCCTCCGAGGATAAATCCGTTCCAGAGCACTCCAGAACACTCTCAGAGCGTTCTGTAACGCTCTGAGAAGGCCGCGGCTCCCGAGACATCCTCCAGAGCCGCCTGATCTCAGAGGTTCTCGATGTATCCTTATCTGGACTTATCCTCGTCCCGGTTTGGTCTCAGCATGCCATCGCGCGAGGGCGCCGTGTCCTTGCGCGCAGGGCCCAACCTCCCTTGCACTTGGCATCGCTCGGACGTGTGCATTTTGTCTGGGCGAGGACCATTGAAGAGCATCCTGGCTCATCTTGCACGGGGAATGGACCTCCGAGCAATGTCCAGCCTTATGATGCTCCAACCTTCCTCGTAGCCTTGACCAACAGTTAAGAATTTCGAGCACCAGGGAAGCTCCGAATTTGGAGGGTTTTCACGCGTCGGGCCCTGGGAGGCGATACGCGGTCGACGCTGCTTCGATACCTTCTCTGGGTGCTCGAGAACATTTCTGGCATGTGGCCCTCGAGTGCGAGGGGAGCAGCACGGGCCCAGCCCAGGTGCCCTGTGCCTGCTGGCGGGGACCGACCTCTCCGACGGGGTCTGGTACCCCGAGGGTGGCTGGCGCGGCGTCAGGCGCCACGGGCGAGCCGTGCGCACCCGTGCCGTCGGACCGAGGCACAATGCTCGAGGTCGGTTCGGGGAGGTGTGCACCGATGCCGAGTCGGACCTGCCCCCTCTGCAGGAGGAGTGTTCAGAAATGATCTAACATAATTATCCCAGTGCGACCCTACCTAGGAGTTGGAGCGTCTAGGAAAGCAGCATCTACATCTACACCGACAGCTACATTAACATCTACACCTGCATCTACATCTGCATCAACATCAACAGCGAGACTCACATCTATGCTATGCTGCGCTATGCTGCGCCATGCTATGCTATGCTATGCTAGGATATGCTAGGCTGCGCTATGTTATGCTAGGCTATTTTATGATATGATATGCTGCGCTATGCTATGTCATGCTATGAAATGCTGCGCTATGCTATGCTATGCTAGGCTATACTGCGCTATGATATGCTATGCTAGGCTATGCTATGATATGCTATGTTGCGCTGCGTTATAATATGCTATGTTATGCAATGGTATGCTATGCTGCGCTATGCTATGCTATGCTATGCTATGCTATGCTGCGCTATGCTATGCTATGCTGTGCTGTGCTATGCTATACCATGCTGCGCTGTGCTATGCTATGCTATGCTAAGCTATTGATATGATATGACATGCAATACAATGCTATGCTATGCTATGCTATGCTATGCTATGCTGCGCTGTGATTTGCTATGCTATGCTATGCTATGCTATGTCATGTATGCTAATCTATGCTATGCTATGCTATGCTGCGCTATGCGATGCTGCGCTATGCTATGCTATGCTATGTCATGCCATGTTATGCTATGCTATACTATGATATGCTAATGCTGTGCTAAGCTAAGCTAAGCTGAGCTAAGCTACGCTAAGCTAGGGTAGGCTAAGCTAAGCTAAGCTAAGGTAGGCTAGGCTAAGCTAAGCTAAGCTAAGCTAGGCTAAGCTAAGTTGAGCTACGCTAAGCTAAGATGAGATAGGCAACGCTAAGCTAAGGGGACGTGACTGGGGGAACCGCGGGGCGGATACTGGGGAACCGCCCGGGGCGGTGTGCACTGCCCGGTCCCTTTAAGAAAGAGAGTAAGAACCCTCTAGGCAGAGCCTAGGTAGGGGAAAGTGGTCTGGGGACGATGTTTTTTTCAACTGTTGTTTTGATCATGTTTGAGTTTCTTTTTGATTTTTTTTTATTCTTCGTCCAAAATCCGCCTGTCGGGGGACGTGCCCGAGCTAACACTAATGCTCTTCGTGTTGGTGGGATGTTCTGGTGCATCCTTGGGGAGGGCACCCATGAATGCACTTCAGTTTGGCCGGCGGAGGGTTTCATGTTCTTGAAAGCTGTTCTCTTATCCCAGGTCCGGCTGTACCACGCTGGCGTCTCCCGAAGCGTCGTCGATCTTCGACACAGGAGTCAAGTAGGGGATCGACTATAGAATTGAGTCACCCCGGAATGGATTTCTCTGTCGAATCTGCGAAACATATGTAAATAATGCCCCTTTGGGGCAAATCAATTCTGTAGTCGATCCCCTCCTCGAAGGAATGGTGCGGCGCATAGTGTTTCGGCCCCCAGAGCCAGAACGCTATTCAGAGGAGGAAAAGGTAGCGTTACCGCTACCCTTTCCCCGTTTTCTCTTGTTTGCATCTCCTGGGAGGCCTTCGTCGCCACCGTTGGAATCGCCTCGAAGTCCTGGTCAGAACGTACCCTGGGAGAGGTCCAGGGAGTAGCGGTATCGACACCTTGTGGTTTTCCGGCCCTCAGAGCCAGAACGCTATGCACCATTCCGCGTTTGAGCGTGGCCTGCAGGGAGTCCAAACATGGTGCGGCACAGGGTCGCCGTTCTCGTACAGTCAACCCGCATGGGAAGGATGAGCGACTTTCCGAGGTTACCCTTGCATCCTTCCCCTTTCGGTCTGTCCTCGGCCGCTCTCGCTGGCCGCGCCCCGCCCGCAGCGTGTCGACGTGGCCTCCCGAGGCCCTCGCAGTCTCCCCGTGCGTCCTTCTCGCACGGGTTTTGACTGCACGCCAGGGACTCGCTGGCCCGCCTGGCCGACGAGAACGGGGTGGAGGTGGTCACCGGCGCCGACGTGGACGAGGTCGTGGTTGAGGGCGGGCGCGCCACGGGGGTGCGCCTGGCCAGCGGGGAGGAGCGAAGGTCAGGTCGGGCATGTCCTCCCACGGGCGGATTTTGGAAGAGAAAGGGAGAACATGGGCCAAAAAGGTTCACGAAGTACCAAGCCAACAACCGAAGACTCGTCCCCAGACTATGTTTTTGGACTATTTTTTGAATCTGTCCTCCTACGGGCGGATTCTGGAAGAGACAGGGACAACATGGTCCAAACAGGTGCACAAAGGATTAAGCAAACAACCGAAGACTCGCCCCCAGACTTTTGTGGACTGCTTGTGGACTCTCCCTCCTGCATCGCAGGCCTAGAGGTTGACACCAACACCAAGATCGGCGGTGTTCCTCCACCGAGGGAAGAAGATCCCGATCTCGGTGATGGTGGTAATGTCCTGGCTTCCAAGGTGGCCGAACTATTACCACCAACACCGAAATCTAGGACCACCTCCCCCCCTGTGGAGGCAGCCCTCTGCCTTGGTGTTGGTGCCCATTTCCAGGCCTCCCTCCTGTGGGAGGACGTGTGAATAGAACCCGTGTAATACCCTCATATATACTCCTTATCCTCACCTCTCCTGCGCCTGGCCGTTTGGGCTCAGGTATTGGGATAGATCGATCAGACTTTGATCGTGCAGGAGGAAAAGATATCCATCTTTCCCTCCTTCCATCTACCAACGGATCAGGGGTTCTGTACCCTTGTACTTCAACCCCATACACAGGACGACCCCCCCACCTGAAGCGAGGGGGCGGAGCGCGCGCCAACGGGGCGCAGGCCTTCGGCGGCCTCCGCGGCGCGGGCTCCTCGGGCTCTCGGCGGCGCGGGGGCGCCCGCCCCGCCCCGCAGCGCACGCGCGCGGGCGCAATCTCACGTCGGGAGCGTCCTTCTGCAGGAGGAAAAAACGAGTCCAAACATAGCCTGGGGGCGAGGTTTCGGCCGCTTCTTTCGCTGGGGGGGGATCTCTTCTCTTGGAGCACGTTGGGGCTATTTTCCGCTTCTCCTCCGAGATCACGATCCCGCTGGTAGGAGGAGGTGCCCGACCCAAACGCGTCCATGTCCGCGCTCTCGCGGCCCGGGCTCCCGGGCGCGATGCTCCCGTGCGGCGTCGCCGTCGCACGGGCGCGCGCTCCGCGCGGGGGCCTCCGCGGACACCAGCGCGCCCCGCCTCCGCGGGGTCGGCTGCCCCCAAACGGGCCCGGCCCGCGGGGCCGCGGGGCCGCGGACATTTCTTTTTGTTGCGCCAGCGAGCAGCCTCCGACGTCACCTCGACGTGTGTTCCAAATCTCTTATTCATCGACACCCCTTAAAAACCAGACCCCACTCCAAATGCGACCTAAAATTCCGGACCCCCCTCTTCGATGGGGCGCCTTAATAAACAGGACCCCCTAAGCTCCAATCCAATGAAAGCGCCCCAATAAATTTGACTCCCCCAGTTACAAACAAGGCGCCTTAAAAAACCGCACCCGGGGGACGATAATAAGGGATTTGCAGTACATGACCACCGCCTGGATGATCAACTTTGGGGGGCCTCGGCAGGCGCTGGATGCGGACATTTTCGGGCCCGTGGGACCAAGATGGATATCCACATCCGCCGCCCGCTGGGGCACCACGACGTCGGTCCCCAGGCGGTGCATATGGAGAAATCCCCACCTCGCATTCTGGGACTCGGGCCTATGCAAGGCAGGATCTTGCCAGACCCAGCCGGAGAAGAGGGAGATCGGAGGAGGCTTCGACGAGCGGCGGCAGCCTTCTCCGGTGCGGCATGTCCTGGTCTGTCAGAGTCCGGAGTGGCCAGCACTGGGTCCAGTGTTGTCCCCAGAACCCTGCGCGGACCTCCGAGCGTCCGTGCTTAATTACGGCAGGTTCGCGTCGTGTCGACGCGGCGGCCACCCCTGCTGCGGGCGTTCAAGGTTGAGCGCCGCCAGCGGCCCACAGTCGGCCAGCGTGGAACGATTTGGCGTGCGGAAAGCCGCCGCTCGTTCGAGGCTGAGCGAGCCGCGCCGTGTCAGAGGCCAACGCTTCGGGCTCAGGAGTGGCTGTGGTTTGCGGGCGCTTCCTCAGAACTCTGGCGGTGAGCTCATGAGCGGCCGAGGCCCTCCGTGGCCGGAGAGGGAAAGCCTCGTCGTTGCTGATTCAGCGTTGCTCATGGTACGCAGCACCATGGTTGCACGCAGCTCTGTGGCTCTCCGCGAGGAGCGTCGGGCCGACGTGGTCGTGGTCAACCAGGACCTGCCGCTCGCGTACCGCTCCCTGCTGCGGAACGCGGACGCGGGGGGCGCCAAGGGCGCCACGGACTTTGCCGAGGACTGGAACAAGAAGGACTACTCCTGCGGCATCCGGCAGCCTGCGGCAAGCTCCGCCGCTGGTGTCGGCGGCAGCGCCGGGGTGCACGCGTGAGACCAGGAAGAGGTACAGTCGGCCTTGGACTAGTATGTCGACCCTGCCAAGTCAAGCGTACTTTTGTGTCCTGTCTTTGGAGGCCTGTGCCTTTTGCTCACCGAGCGCGTTCCACTACTCGCAAAGCACCTACTCGCAAACCTTCGAAAAGCACATGGTCGCCTCGACGCAAAACATCGTAGATTCTCCGCGGCGGATCCAGGCCATTTGCGAGCAGTAACTTTGCAAGTAGTGGAGCGCGCTCGTCTATTTACATTCCTCTTCAGTCAAGCCCGACTGTGCCGATGCCGCCGCCCTTCCCTCGCCCTCGCCTTCCCGGGCCTCCTGGGAGGCCCTCGTCGCCACGGCCTGCTGCACCCCGGAACCCTGGTCAGAGCGCGCTCCGGGAGAGGTCTGGCGAGCAGCGGCCTCAGCACCTCTTCGTCTCCCCTGTCTGGGTGCATGCACGGCGCTTCTGCCGACCTCTTCCAAGCGTGCTCGTCGGATCTCAAGGTAGGAGAAGCCACCCAGACCGGACAATTGGCGTTTACCAAACGACCCTGGGCGTTCACTGAACAGCCCTGCCCTGTTTGATTCTTTGTTTGGGTGTGCTCACTAAACGGCTTCGCGTGTCGGGGTGGTTGTTATCGGGGTGGATTTTCTACCCTCTAGGATCCCTCGT